AGTCAAAGAAGAGTATCGACAGATGCCGACCGCTGAATTTTGGAGGTATTTGCTGGAGTTATCCAGTTCACCAGTTTGGGAAGCGAGGAATATCTGAAATTTCACATAAACCCATGATTTCTCCAGCTATTGACAGGTTGCTGTTCTGTGGACACAATCGACGCGGAACCGAGAGAAGCAAGCCCAGAATATTTGAAATTGATTTATTAATTATATGATATCAAACTCCAGGTAAAAGTATTTATTCTTTTCATCCAAAATTTTTCTGCCCAAATATTACTTTGGGATACAAAACAAAACCATATGGCACAACGTACGGCACAAGCTATCAGCGGTCTTCTCTTTTGTGCGGACCTTTGTGAGAACAGTATAACATCGAACTGGATCTAAATTTAAGCGATCATTTCTTCACTTCAGAAGCCTAAAACCTTCATTTCTCCCTCAGTTTCCAGACATGGAGAGTTTATATTCTGATTTTGGAAAAATTCAGCTCTGCAGCGATGTTAAATGGGTGATTCACCGCGAAATGTGGCCAATTCCGACATTTGTTTTGATACCACGAATCACGATGGATGCCGCCTACTTTTCGAAGGCAATACCTAGCTATTTGTTGAAGTTATCATGGATTTGGTTATTAGAAAAATTCTGAAGTGAGCCATGAAGACGGGCTGCAAAGCGGGTAAGCTGTATTTATGACGAAATCTGCTCCAGTGGTTCGATTTTGGTGTAGGCGAAAAAATCGCGAATGCTCGTACATGTGCTGATTCAAACGGTCATAACTTTTGAAAAATCGAAAACGTACAGGGTTTTTTGCATATTTTTGCCTGTAAAGGTCTAAACTTAACGGCTGTGTAGGATAGAATCGTCAACCAGGTCCCAAATCCCAAAACTTAGCGTCTAAATCAAGGTTATTTACGGCCATCGGCCGATGGCGATTTCTAGTGGTCAGAATATGCTAAAATTCGCCTTTTCAAATATGTTGAGAGGGCAAATTCTAACTTTCTTGGCAAACTAGAAAGGTTTTTAAGCAATCTGATATAAATTCTGTGGCTTAACTATGCGAATCAAATATTTTACAATGTTACAAAACATGCCTATTTTTCAATTTTCGAGACGTTGCGACGGTCCCTACGGACTGGGAAATAATTATGGCCCGTAATGCAGTCAGAAAATTATTTCGAATCAAACCAAATCTAATTTAGTTCTTTCCTAGGTAAAGTCTTTCTGTTAACAGAGTTTCAGGCAAAATTATTTTTGACGCAAAATTGACCGGGTGGAAATAAGAGAGACAGCCTCTTAAGTAGCAAAAGGAAGCTTTTTAAGAGAGGAATCTTATTATTTGCCCTGCAACACCATATGTAGTGTCTCGCCAAAAGAAAACAAAAGTTAACTTGAAGTAAGAACCTTGGTTGTGAGTGAGTTGGAGTCATTCAATTAGCAAAGGCTAATCTAGTGGATGCCCACCCCCCGCCTTCAAAAAAAAATTACAGTAACACAAAACAGATAGGTATTTATAATTACAATAGGTTAAAAGCATTTTGTCATATGCAAAAATAAATAATAAATTAGTATAACAAAGTCTATAGATGTTGAGAAGGCCACTGGAATCCAATGATGAATAGGACTTTACGAAAGTTTACAGAAGAGTATTTGGAAAATGCATTGTATTTTATTACAATAATTGCTGAAGTTTGGTAAGTGCTGGTAAAAAGTCAGTAAGAGAAGGCCTAGGATTTTCAAATAAACTAAATATTTTTAGGGAACCACTTTTCACATAGAGTTTGTGAAGGCCAACAGATTTTTTTGTTGTGGATTTTTGTAGGTTTTTTCCAATTGACTATAACAATGTTCTGTAGCATTCCAATCACGTTATACTGGCTGACCAGAAGGTTGCGATGTTTTGATGGTGCACTACGCAGGCAATAACGTTGACTGGGTATGTGTCACCTTAAGGACTATTCTGCTCAGTTGTAATTGACTGGAATTCCACAGCTAAGATTGGCACATCCCATCAATTTATATACATATATTCACAAAGTGTGAAACAAAACAAAAGATTGAACATTTTCTGGGAGCTTCCATCATGAACTGTGCATGCAGGACCGTTGCGTTAATTTATCCCGTGCTTTAACCCTGCTTTGATGATCATTCTTCTGTACTTCATGTATCGATGGTTGACTAATGTTCAAATTTATGTGAATGAAAATAAGCCATACTTCAGTCAGGTTTTGTTAATGCTTAACTGCAAACATGCATAGATTGGGTGCAATATTATTATCGTCAATGAAGCTAAGTCAGGTTTTTTATATATAGATTTTTATTTAAGGCTAGGTGTGTACATAAAATTATCCACCATTGTTATCAATATACGCTGCCAAATAGAAAATCGGCCTCTTCAAAACACACGCTCAGCGGGCCGCAAAAGACTGACAGCGGGCTGCTAATGCATTATCAGCCCTACAGCTGATTGGTTCTTACTTCATCATCCGATGGATTTTAACCAATTAGAGTAAGCCTAGTGTTGACGCAGGAAAACCATTCATTTGCGAAACTCCGGTTTTGAACTGCAGTTTTTTCAGTCGTCGAATCGTCTTCGAGCGAAAACTGAAGTAATGGAAGAAATTAGCAGTCAAAACTCAGATTTGGGGCTAGAAGATTTGGACAAATTAGAAGCAAAAGGTCAGGCGGAAAATACAAAGAGAGCCACTTCGTGGGGGATCAAAAAATTCGAGAAATGGTGCGACAAACGAAAGCTGAAAGTTGACTTCAATCGTGTAACACCGGTTGAGCTAAATGAATTACTGCGGAAATTCTACGTTGAAGTTAAATCGGAAAAAGGCCAACCGCTAACACCAAGTACTCTAACTGGTATTCGAGCTGCGATCCACCGACAATTGACTTCAGCTCCGATAAGCAGGAGTATGAATATTATGCAAGACAGCGAATTTCTTTAAGCGAACAAAATGTTTGAAGCCAAGGTAATTTTCAATAAGTTCACTGGACTGAGTTGATTCTTTAATAGCTTGTTCAATCAACACTTACATGATGATTTGAAGTGACTTTGAATTCGTCATTCACTTAGCTTGTATTATTAAAACTCGCATTCTTGATATCATTTGGCCTTGTTTATTGATAATAATGATAATGACATGACTTTTTTCGGGAATATTGTTTATTTGCGCCCTTGTAGTGTCATTTGCGGCCCTTGCGCTTCGCGCTCGGGCCGCAAATTACACTACAAGGGCGCAAATAAACAATAATACCGAAAAAAGTCATGTTATTCCCTTATTATTTTAGGGGCACACAGAAAGGACATTGCAATCCTCACTGGGCCAGGAAGTACCATCCATTCATTAACTTACTAGTACATATTGTACAAGGAAAGTTGTAAACCAATTAGTTTGCTACCCTTCATTTCAGCTTTTTGACATCACTAAAGACAGAGAAGAGACTCAACAACAACCAATTAGACTCACTCTGTTGAGTACAGAATGGAGGCCATCTCCATTAACCCTTTCTATGATCATAAGAGGACTTGCCATTGAGTTAGCTAGACCCACGTGTGGAAGTTAGTGTCTTTCTTCCTCAATGCAGTGAAGAAGACAGAAGAAATGCTGCAGGTTACAATTTTCAGCTCATTGAAGCAGAGAAAATGGTTCCGGTTACTCATCCAATTAATTTGACTGGCTGATTAATTTACCCCAAGAACATGTCATGGATTGTGTTTTAGCTTATGGTACAACTAATGGTAAAGTTGTGCCGTACATCATCAAAAAGCAGCATAATTGTAAATGGATTCAAGTGGTTCTTGAGCAACCTGGAAGGTACTTCAAAAGCCTTTCAGAGAGTGAAAAATGGGATCAGGCAGATAGGGAAATTTGTGATAGCTGATCAAATTTTAGCCATTGGACCTACGCTTGCAGATGCATATCAACAATTCTTTCATTCTAGGGATATAGATCAAAGTGTGTTAATTTACACCCCAAGTATTTTCTCTGAGATTTGGGAAGTTCCACTGTTAGATGTTGTAGAGGTCAAAGAATTGTCAGTCTTTCTTGTTTTACTATTTGGTCTCAGTGGAAAATTTGAAATCAAGGGGTGGGAAATTGCTGCTAAGGCAAATTCTGCATTGGATGATGAAACCCACACACTCATGACTGTTTATCCCCCATGCAGTGGTAAAAATAGAAGCCATTAAAGGAAAGGCTTTTGAAAGTGGCATAAGACACAATCAAATATTTAACTCTGTCACTAAAAACAGCATTACAATAGCAGAACTTACTGATTTATTCAGTGAGGCAGATCGTGCCATAATGCCATTCTAGACAAAAAGTTTTGAACTAGCTGCACTTGGAGCCCTATCTGTTGGTTTGCTAATACTTGTCAGAGGTTCTTCAGGATTTGGGAAGGTTCTAAAAGAAGTTCCCTTAGGCCCTCAGTGTGTAGTTAACTTTGATAATCTTAAAGACTGGACCAAGGAGATCAGAGCAATATAACAAAAACCCAGGATAGTGCGACTTAAAGAGATGGGCTTATCCGTGAAAACTATTTGAAGAAATACAACGTGGAGGAATCCTGTGGAAGGTTTTTGAAAAAGATGCGCGAGTTAGTGTCAGGTACATGTTCCCTTTTGTATATTGAATAATATACAGTTAAACACGCTAAATATGTTGTACAATGTTGTAAAAAGGCTATCAAATGATGTAAATCAGGGTTAAATTGATCACTAGATTCTTACAATAAATAGCCAACTGAAATATATTGGTAACTAGCATAGTTATCTCTACTTTCTACCTGGTGGCCATCTCGTTTTAAACTAACTGACAAGTTTTGGTATGAGAAATATCTATGAGATATTATTTTTCAAAACAATACTCTTCTCCTAAGTATTTCCGCTGTACCACCTCGTGGACTAACACATCATACAAAATCTTATAGACTACATCTTCCCCATTGATTGTTTTCCACTGTCTCAGTATCTGAAATCCCCTTTGAGGCAATTACTTGTATCTCTCTACAATTCTTTCTATGTGCTCTTCCTTAATTCCAGGTAGTCGGCGTGCCAGTTGATCCCACATGTCACCAATAGCTTTGCCAAGTGTTTGAAGGTCATCGTCAGTTACTACTCCCTCTTGAATATAAAAACAAACGGAGAGTCAATTATTTCAAGATTACCAGCTCACTTGCTACTTACTGTGACTCAGTTTAAATCATTCATTACAAGTAAATTTGTAGGCGAGGGGGGGGGGGGGGGGGGGGGAAAGAGGAAATCCTTTTTTTTGTCATGCCAGAGATTTTCCATCAGATATTATGGAGGCGGGGTGGCCAAGTGGTTAGGACACAGGGAACTGGTGGTCTGGGGAACAAGCCCTCCACCCTGCCACTTACTAGATTGTTCTTAAATGGTCTCCTGGGTTCAACTCCTTGGCTATGCTTTGTATATAGGTGACTGCAGCCTGCCTCCTGTCAGTCAGGGTTTTCAGGGCTTTTACACCCTGTGTCTACTTACGTGTAGTATGTTTGGGACCGGATTGTTCGTATTGGTCCTGAGATGAGCCCTGCTGGGGGAGACTGGTCAATTTTAAAAGTATACAAATACATATCCACACACATTCCTCATATTATCAGGTATAATATGTTGAATCAAACTGATCAGAGTTGATTTATGTTTTGAAAGCTAGTGAGAGGTATAACTTATCGTGAGTCAGTAACAATTTATCACCAAAAAAAATTATTGGGAGAGAGATTGAAAGTTCTTTAAGTCTGCAAAGAAATTTTACATGATCGATCCTTCAAACATCCTACTACTGCATAATTAATGAACTTAAAATGTAATTTCCCTTTGTCCTTACCCTTAAACTTCCTTGTCTTTCTAGCGCTGGATACCCCAGAAATTCCAGGTTCTCCATTAGTAACAAATTTAGGTTTTTTGGCAGCTGAGCCACTTTCTTCCTCTTGCTTAACTTCATTGGAAGCAGAAGCTAGTATGTAAGTAAGAGAGATGAAAAGGTTGGGGTAAAAATGTGATATTTCTTTGTGTTTGCATTTCCTCCTAATAACTACTTTGTCTAAAGAACTTAAGTTTTAGAGATTTAGCCCACAGAACAGGCATAATTTGTTGCATTTTTCAGGCAAAAGGAGATAAGTGCTAGGCAAGTGCAGGTCATGCACAGGGTAGGAGTGCAAATAATAACTCCTCCCCTTGAATTTGTGCTGACCTCATGCTTGCCTCAATTCTACTGAAAATGATAAAAGAATTTACACCTGTTCTTTAGGCTAAAATATGGATCCTTGCATACCAAGGTCAGACAATAAGTGATTCACTTTGATCTACTGAAATAAAATTTACCCAGTAACTGCTATGTGCTAAAAACAGCAGGCTCTTCTGATCAGTGGCAATGAATTTTCACAAGTTCAAGTTCATGTAGAACAAAGCTGTCCCCCATCCCACCCTTTCTCACTTCTTCTTTCACAGCTCTAGTCAATATTAGGAGTTGTATTCTACCTAGGGGGCCAGGTTGGCTGCAGTGGAAGCCCCTGAGTATTGTTATTGGATCAACTAATAATTCCCTAATTGATATTTCTCCTTATTCTCATCACTTGTCTGCTTGATATTGTATGGATGTTGTGAGGAGAAGTTCTTTCTTGGTCTCTTATGGGAGTTGACTGGGTAACAGGATAAAATTGAAACACTAACACAGTTAAGTGGTGGCCTTAAGTCATTTGTATTCTCCATTAGCATGATAGCCATCAATATAATTATAATTTAAAACATATTAAAGTTCACACGGCAACCAGGTGGACAATCAGACATAGTTTGATGCTACTCTGGTTTGCAGATTTAATGAAAGTAACTGAAGAAGTTACAATTCATAGACCCAACGTTTCGACACTCCTGTCTGGAAACGATATGTCGATGATGTTATTTCTGCGGTATCCGGAAATGAAGCGGAGCGCCTCTTGTCGCATTTGAATTCAGTAGAGCCGTCGATCCAATTCACCCTTGAGCGCGATAGGTTAGACATTTGCCCTTTCTTAATTTAAATGTGTCCAGAGGGGTTCAGGGTAATTTAGAGACAAGTGTCTACCGTAAACCTACCCACACCGACAAATACCTCGCTTTCGATTCTCACCACCCTATTTGCCATAAAAAGTCTGTAGCCAAAACTTTACTTAGGAGGGCTGACTGTCTACCATCTTCACTCGATTCGAAGGCTGAGGAGAGGAAATATGTTTCCAATGTCCTAAAGGCAAATGGCTATACAAAAACTTTTCTCCGTAACTGCCAAAAACCAGTTACAAATAGTAACGCTCTTGATGAAAGGGAACCAGCGACTGGTTTTGCTGTTATTCCTTACATACAGGGTGTTACGGAACCCATCAAGAGAATTTTGAATAGCCACAACGTCAAAGTTGCTCAAAAACCTTTTCAGACTTTGGGGCATATTTTCGCCAAACCCAAGGATCCTGTCGCGAAAGAACAACGAACTGACGCCATTTATTCTATTCCTTGCAATGACTGTGACAACGAATACATCGGACAGACCAAACGTCAGTTTGGTACACGGTTAAAAGAGCACCAAAAAGCGGTTTTTCTTTGCAAAAAGGAAAATTCAGCTTTATCGAAGCATACATGTCTAACCAACCATACAATTGGGTGGGATAATTCTAAAATTGTCACCACCAATCGGCGTTACCACCAGCGCCTTTGTTTGGAGGCTTGGCATATTAACTCCGCCCACGCTCCTTTAAATCGTGATGATGGCGGTTTGCTTCCTGACGCCTATTTACAGCTCGTCAGAAAAAGGCCGCTAATTAGTGATCATATAAAAGGACCTCTTGTTGCAGCGTTTAGATCACCCCTGATGAAGGCACTAGACAGGAGTGTCGAAACGTTGGGTCTATGAATTGTAACTTCTTCAGTTACATTCATTAAATCTGCAAACCAGAGTAGCATCAAACTATGTCTAATTATAACTTGTTATAATGTTGATTTTTGTTTAATACTTTATAGTCCAAACTTATTTATATAACTACTCACATCTTATTGTTCATTGAAGAAACTTTCACAATTGAGAGAAACATGCCTGTTTCAGATTGATGCAACCTTACCATAACTACCCGATTGATTCTGAGATAAATATGTTCAAATATTACCAGTGCTGTTGAAGTTAAGAAGGCCTCCAAGCACCATGTGCTGTTCAAGAATAATTCATGCATGCAGCCCAGCCACTAACCTATCCATGGGTTGCAAATGGCTCTGTGTAGAAAGCTCAGGGGTTGGGAAGGGAATATATAATTAGTACTACTTATTGTAACAATAAAAATAGGCATTCAACTAACCAGCCATATTTTTTCCAGTGGCACATGGTTCATCATCAGAACTTTCATCCTCATCCTCAGATGAACCAATTTCAATCATGATCCTGTCTTCTTCGTCAGCTTCTGATGGATAGACTGCAAGTTTGTATCTATCTTTCAACAACTTTGATTGAATATCTTATATTTAGAAGCTATTAGATCATGCAGTAGCACATTTTTTTGATATATTGCATGATATAAAGGTCTATAAACATTCACAGAGCATGTGTCTCACCGGTAACCGGTCATTTCGCACTAAAGACTTTTCGCACAAGTCTTTTAGCACAAGTTTTGGACCGTTCGCACAACTCTTTGTGGTCATTTCGCACAATAACCATAAGTGAGAAACATCAATATAAAAGGTATACTGATTGATACTGATAAGACATTTCACCTTCACATGATCCAACGGCGAGAACGTAGACATTTATTTACGTAATAACTTCAACTAGATCAAAATGCTCGTGAACACGATCACTATTCTTTCTTGAAGAAAGGAAAGGTACAAATCTCTCTCTCCATGAAAATGTAAAGAACTCCCTATTCGAACGACTACTTCTATAACGTTTTCTTTGTCGAACGAAAAACCTTTTAGTTTTGACAGTATCATCCACTACAAAGTTAACATGCAAACATGACGACCCACGCTAAGGACACCATGTTGATTTCGAAAGTAATTGTCACCAGTCTTCCCTCCTTGTTCGATCGCCTTCAAATAGCATGTTTTATCGATCTGTAAGAGTTTCAAATAAAGCTATTGAAAACTTGCTTCTTATATCTTCGTTATATAATGAAAATTAGGTATACTGGTAATACGTACAGCAAAAACAGTGCAATTTTACATATTTACACAGAAATTTTGTAAATTGGTTTTTACTTTGACTTCAGAGGTGGGAGGATTGGTGAAAATTACTTTCGAAATCAACATGGCGTCCTTAGCGTTGGGTCGTCATGTTCGTTTGTTTGTAGTGGATGATGTACTGTCAAAACTAAAAGGTTTTTCGTTTAACAAAGGAAAAGTAAAAGAAGTAATCGTTCGAATAGGGAGTTCTTTACATTTTCATAGAGAGAGAGATTTGTTCCTTTCTTCAAGTAAGAATGGTGATCGTGTTCACAAGCGTTTCGATCTAGTTGAAGTTATTACGTAAATAAATGTCTACGTTCTCGCAGTTGGATCTTACTGAAAGTGACAAGTGAAGGTGCGATGTCTTATCAGTATCAATTAGTTTACCTTTTATATTGATGTTTCTCACTTATAATTGTTGTGCGAAATGACCACTAAGAATTGTGCGAACGTTCCAAAACTTGTGCTAAAAGACTTGTGCGAAACGTCTTTTGTGCGAAATGTCCTGTATTCGTCTCACCGGCTTTCTGGTCACTTTCTTTTTCTGCTTTCTTTTCTGCAACAAATGAAATTTTCTTGGTATCTTGTATCGCAGTTTCTTTGCTGAAAATGTAACATGTCATTGTGTTATATGGAAAACCATGTTCCCACAAGATATAGCTCTTACCTATTAACTAAGTATTTTTTCATTTTACTAACATGGAGGTCAATGCATTGTGGTGATGGATAAATGTCCACAGTGATGAACAAAATAAACTAACACAGCTAACAAGGACTCTTAAAACATACTGAATTTTGCATAAAAATATAGCATTTTAAACAAAAAAATCCTCATAAAGTGAATAATTAATCCTCCATTTTGATCCTGAGGAATTTGTGTTTTTTGCAAGAGATTAGTGGCTAGTAAACTCTCTTGTCCCTTAAAACTTCTTGGATTTTCATTGAGAGCTCAAAACAACAATGTTATCTTAGCCAACAGTGGGAGCTAGCTAGTCACTGTGCAAGGGCAAACTTTTCTTGTAAAAGATGCTTAGCTTATCTGGAACAATTGATAGAGAACTAAATAATGCGTTTGAACTGCAGAATAAAGATATTAATGCAGATAAAATGATACTCACACTGTCAGAAACAGAACAAAATGCTAACCATGAGATCCCTAAGAGTGACTTAATCTAGCATTTAATTTCTCCTCATAATATCACCCCCTAAACCACAAATTAAGGATGATCCAGGATCCAAGCAAAAATTTCTTGCCTCTTCCTTGCTTTGTTGCCATCTTCATTATCTCTCTCCTCCTTCCTTACGTCAGCAACTAATGGAGAGTTGGAAAAAAAAAATTCAAATTTTCTACACTTCAGTTGACCAAAATCAGTTGGGCATGTAATTAATATAAAATTCAAATTTTAAATCTCTTTAAATGAACAAGTGCTCACTGAATAAATACTTCTGAGAACCCACTTTTTACAATTACTTGGAGAGCAGTATTTCTACCCCCTGATAGCTCTTCATATCAAAATTTAATCAAGGGTGGAAGTAAAAATTAACTGGAAGTTATTATATCATCAATAAGGTCAATAACGCTTCTACATGCTGAGCTCTCAACTCTTTCACATTGAGCATGAGACTCATGCTAACAAATTCAAACTAGGCTCTTGTGCTGAAACTAAAAATTTGTTGCTCATTTAAGGTTTCTCTTATAAACTGTTGATTTTCTCCTTGTTACCTTTGTACTCCCTCTTCAACAATGGAAATAGTGGCTCAGAATTAAGGAATGCAAGTCTAAACTATACTTTTGTTCATTGTCTCACACTTTTCACCACGGGTAGTATGAGAAAGGTGATGCCTGCAATGTCACACTCAATCAATAGATATGCGGATTCAAAATCTCACTCTTTAAGCCAGCAAAGCAACTTGAGTAGTTCAATTTTGTTCAAAGCAGCCTTTTGGCAACCTACTTAGTTAAATCAAGTTGCAAGATAAAAGGGAAGAAGAAACTTTGTGGGATAAAAGGATGTAACTAGTGCTGACAATACTACTTATGTCTTTGAGACATAAAACCAAGTACTCTATTCCATAAGGATTCTTCTATGCGAAATTGTTTATCTCTCTTTTAAAGAATGTTACAGCTGGCTGGTGTCATGTCATGCACGACCAGCAAACACAAGATAATCTAAGGCCAAATTTGCCAGTTGCTATGGCAACCAAAACAGTTCTAAATTAAAGCCCTGCTTAGTCAACATCACAAATGATTTGTGTGGAGTAATGTTCCTGCAGGTGAATTTGAATCATCATCATATGTATTTTGCCCCTCAAAGTGATATGTAATAAATAAGTTTGCTGATCATGTTGTAACTTAAGTGTCTAAAGTGATACAAAATTTCCCTGGAACAGATGTAAAAGCAATCTGGTTGACAAATAATAATAAATCCACAGATTTCCAACAAACGTAAAGTAACACCGTTCCTTCATTTTAAAAGTAAGTCACCTTTTTGTCGCTTTCCAGATATGTAAGAAGAACCTGCATTTGATGCAAACTGGTCTGGATCCTCAGCAGGGCCTGTCAGAAAATGGAAATACCCCTATTAGGGCATTCACATTGAAAATATCATAACTGTGACATTATATTTTCCAGTAATTGTGTTTCTTGACATTAAAAAAAGTCCAAAAAAATATTGGTATATTGATTTCATTAAAATGTTTTGTACCTGTTTGATATAAAAAGGATGCAGTTTGTTAATAACACTAGGGCATGTTTAAAAAATTGACAAGTGAGTAATTACCAGCCACTCGCTTTTGAGCTGAATGCCTTTTGCCTTGGGACTCCTGTTGCATTTCCTCAGCATGTCCTGTTAGATGTCAACAAAGGAATAGCACAAATTACACAGAGACAACTATTACCAAAGTATCAGTGTGACTGTCATTCATTTACATAAAGTGCGTAAGCCCCACATGAGTAAAACATGTTATTGCAGGTGTACTTCAACTCATATCATTACAGTGGAACTAAGGGGGTGAAACCTGTAATAGTGTTAAGCCTTGTAAGTAACTGTGATTAATACTTGTTGAATGTTTTTTTGGGCAAGCTTGTTATCTAGTGTAATTTCTAGGTCCATTTTTAAGGATTTGTGCCTTTGAGCACATGAAAATCAAAACATCTTTGCACTAAAACATACATAGAGTGCTGAAATCAGCAATGATCCAAATTTCACAGATACAAAACAGCCCCTAATTTCTATATACTTTTTTGATGTTACTCTTATATTAATTCAAGTCATGGTGCTTATTTCAAAATGATAGCAGATGTGCTAATCAGCTACTAGATACTTAAAATGAATTATTTCAAATCAGGTAAAGGCAAATAAAATTAATATTTCAACCTGAATGCAAAGCCCTTAGCTTCTTCACAAAAGCAGCACATTGATCCCACCAACAGTATTTCTCTTCATATTTGTCACGTAGCATGCTTGCCTCATCTAATCTAGTCTTCAGATTTTTTCGTGCTTGCTTGATTTTTTCAACCCAGTCAGCTTCTTGATGTACTATGTATCGGTGCCCTAAAGGTACTTCCTTTAGAGCCTCTGCCAAGCCAGAATTATGGGTAATAAGGATTGGTACACCTGCTGACAATGCCTCCAAAGCTGTGAGACCAAATGCATCTGTACCTGAAGGCAACAAAACAAGATCCACTTCCAAAAATAGCTGAGCCAGTTTTTTTCTTTCTTTGTAAAAACTTCTTACAATCAGTTGACTACGAAAGATCCCAAGACATTCCAACATCTCAGCCAGTTTCTCTTGTTCTCCCTCGGGGGCACCAACAACTTTGAGAATGTATGATGGCTCATACTTATTAAGTTGTGCCACAGCTTTGGCAGCAACATGAAGACCTTTAAATTCAAAGTCTTCAGTGTTGCCTTTGCCAAACACTAAGATTTCAAAGTTCCTTGAATTTCGGTATTGCTTCTGCTCTTCAAAAAACTCATCAAAAATGCCAGGTATAAGATTGAATATATGATCTTTCTTACACTGATGCAGAGCAGAATTAAAGGTCTCACTGAGCTTATAGCCAACAGTTATAACCATGTCAGCCTTTTTACACAATTCTACCTCAGTTTCATGCTGTTTCTGCCCTTTAGAAATGGCACCTGGGGTTTTCTGGAACATTGCTGTTTCTTCTGCATTTGTCAGGAACACATGTACCCATTTACAGCCAAGGTTATCCCTAAAGACCTGTCCATGACGTCCAGGCTCAATGCCATAACAAATGATATAGTCAGAACTAAATCCTTCTGGAGGAAACTGTAGACAATCAACTGGTTCATAGCCTGTATATTTTTTAGCTTCAAAAACCTTGATGTTATACTTTTGGGCATCTTCTCTATCCTCTGGACTGGCACGTGGAATTAAAATACAAATTTCTACATTTTCTAGTCTAGACAGCGCTATGGCCATCTGTCTCATGAAGGTGGAACAACTGCCTTTGGTTGACTGAGTCCATTCCTCAGTCAAAAAGGTTATCTTCATGAGGGCAGCTTGCTTATTCAGATGATGTCCTGTAAAAAAGTTACAAATGATTTCAGAATTGTATGATTGCCCTTGATCCATATATGTTTGTTCCCACTGAAAAAGTTAATTAAATCAAATGCAACAAATGTGTTTTTTCAAGGACTGTAAATATAAGAAAATCATATATGAGTACTGCGGTTGAAGAAACGAACATAGAAGCGATCCTTGCAGTTATGAACACTACCTAACTAGTAGTTAAAATAAAGCCTGATTTTCTTTCAGTTAAACTCGGTTTAACTAAATATGTTTTCTAGTGTGTCAATAGGCTGAGGTATATGATGCAAGAGTGTGCTGTTTCCAGCTATATGTAGCTTCCTTGTCAATGTTATGCTATTTGAAAAGAAAATTATAATTATTATCATTTGTTCCCTGCAGAAATTTCACTCACTTTGAAGAATAAAAAATCGATCCTAAAATCAGAAAAGTATGCCAAACCGCAAAATAACACTCTTACCGATTTTTCAACCCATATTGAAATGATGATATTCATCTATTGTCACAAAGCAGCATACAATACATATTACTCATCGGTAATGTCGTATAAGAGCGCCATTCCAATTGATATATCACCTAAGGGTTTTCCATTTCAGAACAAGAGCAGTGTTAAGTAAAATATCAGCTTTCCAAATGTGGCGCAAGATTAGTTAGGCTAGCCTATGTACATACAAAGGCATGTCTTGAAGCATTGCTTCATTTTCAACTTAAAAAATGTTCGGATCCAACCAATTATATTTTTACATTTTTACATTTTGTAAAGCGTTCGTTCAAGCCTCCTCGCTTATCTCATAACCCTTGGTATAGGGTCTCTGATGGACGTTTCCAACCAAGGCATCAAACTACATGCTGTTGAAATTTTAATATCACTCTTTACGATGCTGGATGCATTTATCCTCAAGAACTTTCTTTCATTTTAACCGCTCGTACACACCGAATGCTCCTTCGCTTATTTGCCTAGCTGATACCTCGTACAAAAACGAGCGAGCCAAATAGGTGGCCATATAAAGTATGTCAAAATTTAGAGAGATTGTTCAGCGATCCCTCTCACCTTATCTGGAGATGTAAAGCAATTCACTTGATCGTGTAGTCCTCATGCAAATTCGCAGTAGTGTGGGATTAAAAACGCAGCAGTTAAAAAACTCTATCCCATGAGACATAGGAAGCGCGGAAAAAGTTGCATAAATTATGCAGGTATTCTGTCGTAAAACGCTAATAGTATTGTCACTCAAAAACTTGGGCCAGCTCGCATGAACCCTATAGTAAGGGTCAGTACAGCAACATAAGGCAGGATGTGACAGAGGTAAAGAACTTCTTTCATCTGCGCATGACAAGGAAAAATCTGATGAGTTCCCGCTGACAGATTTTTTTGGACTATTTTTTTTTTGGGGACCATTTTAGAAGGGGGGGAGCACAGGGAGGGGTGGGATGAAGTCTGTCAGTATTGAGGGAAGGGTGGGAGGCAGAGTGTTATTACTCAGGGAGGGGTGTGAGACGGACTATTACTACGCAGGGAGGGGTGGGAGGTGGTTGTAATGGTAAACACTACTGGTTAATGGAGCTTTTACTCGATCGTACAAACAATTTTAATCGGTTTTTCGACTGAGTTTTTGTTTGTCAAAATTTAAGCGCTGGGCCGCGGCGTTTCTTCATTTTTTTGTCATGCGAAAGCGAAACTGCCACGAAACACTGGACTTCTACGTTTTGCCGACGGAAATTATCGGCAAGCAACAGTAGCCACCATAGTTCCACTTCGCAGGTTTTATAGGTTTTAACGCAAGAACTGATCGACAGCGGCTTGGGCAAATTGGAAAACAAACCTAAGGGAGTCGCGAGGAATATCTGGTCGCGATTTCCGGTGTCAGTGATTAGCTCCTTTGTTTGCGAAACAGATGAAATCGATATTTGCGCTTTCCCATTTTGAGAGTACAGCAGTGTTTTTGGTCGATTCGAGAACATGGATTCCTCTTCGAAATCGTTCGCTGATGATTTTATTTAGTAAGGGTATAAACTTTAAAAATTGCGATAGCGCATGTGAATTCTATATGTTGCTAAGTTAAGGGCTAAAGACCGGAAATTCCGTGATCTCGTTTGATAAGATCAGTGACAAAAGGAAGATAGTTGAAGTTAATAATTATATACTGTATACACAAAGGGAAACTTGAAGCAACTGATAGTGCACAAATTGACTCAAAAGGCGCACGCATAACTCAACAATGGAGGATCGTAAACGCGATATTTTCAATACAAATTAAAGTCCAGCGTTAACGTGGCAGTTTCGCTTTCGCATGACATAACAATGAAGATACGCCGCGGCCCAGCGCTTAAATTTTTAGATACTAAAACTCAGTCGAAAAACCAATTCAAATTGTTTGTACGGTCGAGTAAAAGCTCCATTAACCAGCAGTGTTTCCTATTTCAGCCACCTCCCACCCCTCCCTCCGTAGTAATAGTCTGTCTCACACCTCTCCCTGAACAATAACACTCCACCTCCCACTCCTCCCTTAGTACTGATAGACTTCATCCTACCCCTCCCTCAGTATTAATGGTGTGCTCCCCCTTTAAAATGGTCCCAAAAAATAGTCCAAAAAAAATGGTCCAAAAAAATAGTCCAGTCCACATTTTACCCTATGCCAGCTACCACTAGTCACATTATAACATTTCGCGCTCTAAAGCTCTACCTAGTTAGCTCATTGACAAGTCTAAATAAATTTCACAAAAAGTAAGTTCCAAAGGCGAAAATCTTAAGTCAAAGAGTGGTCAAATCCATGGAAATGAGAGAGTTGAGCTTAAAAATATGTTAAACCAGAAGGTGATCAAATTTGCTGGTGTACCGGGAGGGAGATTTTAAAATATAATTTAAAATCGACGGGCTGAATTTGAGCCGACTTAGTGTTGAAAGTTTTTGCTTTGCTGATGTGACACGTTCTTCCATCGATTAGTGGAGAAACCGAGAACTTCTTACAGATGTCCAGGGCCTAGAACAAAACCAGAGTGACTTCAGATACGAAGTAACTACGGTAAGGATTTCAGCCCTTGGAGGGGGCGAGCAATCTCCGTAATTTACCTGAGATGAATTTCAGTCAGCTTTACGATTACCCCGTTGTTTCACGAGAATATCGCCACATCGTGTTGAGAGGAACGCATTACAGGAAGTACCACAGAAGCTGTTCAGTATGGCTTAGAAAGCGAGGCAAAGGCTGCAGCCCTCTAGGTAGAGGAGATTTGTTATTGCTGCTGTTGTTGATGTGGTACTTGTTGTTGTACCATATTCTTCAGTTAAAGTTGTTCCCATTTTGTTCACCAAGATGTCTTTTAGTTTGCCATTTGTACATTTTATCTTATGGGAAACTATAAAATAGAGCCTGTAGAACCACTTGATTATAACCCTTGTTTCTATCAACCCATGAGGAAAACTGTAACTAACAGATGTCATAATATTTTCATACCCATCTTGCTCAGGACAACTTATGCTAATGATACATTGAAAATGATGCAATCAAATGCGTGTATAATATTATCTAAACACGTTATACAATGTTGTAAAAAGGCTAGCGATAAAAGGATGTAAATCAAGGATAAATTCATCTCTAGATTCTCACAACTCATAGCCACCTGGAATTTATTGCTAACTAGCAAAGTTATTTATACTTTCCACCCAGTGGCTTTCTCTATTTAGACTAACTGCCAAGTTTTGGTATAAGTAATATCATAGAGATATTATTATTCAAAGCAATACTTTTCTGCTAAGTCTTTCCGCTGTACCATATTGTGGACTAATGCATCATGTAAAGTCATGTAGTCTGCAGCTTCCCCATTGTTTGTTTTCCACAGTTTCAGCATATGAAATCCCCTTTGAGACAAAGTCCTATAGCTGTCTTCAATTTCCTCTTTGTCATCTTCCTCAATTTTGGGTAGTCGACGTGCCAGTCGATCCCACTTGACACCAATTGCTTTGCCAAGTGTTTGAAGGTCATCATCACTTACAACTCCCTCTTGAATATAAAAACAAATAGAGAGTTAATTATTTCAAGATTAACAGCTTTAAAAATTGTGACTCAGGAACAATTTTACAATCATTCATTGCAAGGGAATTTCTTTTTAAGGGGCAAGGGAGAGAGTAAAGGGTTTTTTTTGTCATCCCAGAGATTTTCCATCGGACATTGTGGAGGCAGGGTGGACAAATTGTTAGGACACAGGATTTGTAGCCTGGTGGTCCTGGGAACAAGCCCTCCACCCTGCCACTCACTGGATTGTTCTTAAATGGTTCCCTGAGTTCAACTCCTGGGCTGTGCTTTGTATATAGCTAAGTGCAGCCTGCCTCCTGCCAGTTGGGGTTTTTACAGCCCATGTTTATTTACAAAATTTGGGACTAGATTGTTCATGTTTATCCTGAGATGAACCCTGTCTGAGGAGACTGGTCAATTTTGAAAGTATACAAATACATATCCATGCACACATTCCTCATATTATCACGTACAATTTTTGAATCAAACTGATTAGATTTAATTTGATTTGTGACAGATAGTGGGGGTATAACTGATTGGAACAGAAGATGATGCCCTTTGTGCTGGTAAGATGGACGGCATACCTGAAGCCTGAGACAATGAAGCTGAAGATGAAATTGTCAACAAGTTCAAGATGGACAGTGAAGAGGAAGATTAAAAACCTACAGTAACATAACTGTGCTCTCACTTCAAAGAAACAGCTCTTTAAGGAGCCATCACTGGATGGCTGACTGGATGCAAAAAGACTGCTGACCATATCACTTAATGTCTTTGAGATAATAGTAACATGTGGCTATTGTAAACCTAGTACTTCAATAAGGATTGTATTATGAAAAGTTGCTTATCTCTATTTTGAAGTATGTAACAACTGGCTAGTGTCATGCCATGCATGACCAGCAAACACAAGATAATCAGTAGTGAAAAAAAATTCAGGCCTATACGGGATTTGAACCCATGACCTCTGCGATACCAGTGTAGCACTCTACCAACTGAGCTAACAATTGGGCTACCAACTGAGCTAACAGTTCTTAACTGTTTACAAGATAATCAATGGCCAAATTGGCCAATTGCCATGGCAACCAGAACAGTTGCAACGTAAAGCCTTGCTCAATGATACCTAAGGAGTAGTGTCCCTTGACAGGTGAATTTAAATCATCATCATGTGGATTTTGCCCCTTAAAATTGTAAGTAATTAATTAGTTTGCTGATCACCCTGTATAACAAAAGTGTCAAAAGTGAGATAAACATTTCCCTGGAACAGATGTAAAAGCAATCTGGATGACAATTAACATGAAATAAAATCCACAGATTTCCAACAAACGTAAAGTAACACAGTTCCTTCATTTTAAAAGTAAGTCACCTTTGTGTCGCTTTCCAGATACGTATGAAGAATCTGCATTTGATGCAAACTGGTCTGGATCCCCAGAAAGGTCTGTAAGAAAATGGAAATACCCCCATAGGGGCATTCACATCAAAAATGTCTTAACTGTGACATTATATTGTCCAGGAATTGTGTTCCTCAATATTTAAAAAAAGTCCAAACAAAACATTTGTACATTAATTATGTCAAAATGTTTTGTGCCTGCTTGATACAAAAAGGATGAAGTTTGTTGATAATGCTAGCTAGGGCATGTTTAAAAAATAGACAAGTGAGTTATACCAGTAAAACCAGCCCCTTGCTTTTGAGGTAAATGCCTTTTGCCTTGGGACTCCTGATCAATTTCCTCAACACATTCTGTTAGATGTCAATAAATGAATGGCAAAAATTACACAAAGAAAACTATTCAACTGGATGGCTGACCATACCACTTAATGTCTTTGAGATTATAATGCTATGTGGCAATTGTAAACCTTAAGCACTTCAATAAGGATTGCATTATGGAAAACTGTTTTTTTTTCTCTTGTAAAGAATGTTACAGCTGGCTAGTGTCAGTTGCCATGGCAACCAAAACAGTTGCAACTTAAAGCCTTGCTTAGTCAACCCCACAAATGATTCCTGTGGAGTATTGTTCTCACTGGTGAAATCAAATCATGATCATATGGATTTTGCCCCTTAAAATTATAAGTAATAAATTAGTTTGCTGATCACCCTGTAACAAAAGTGTCTAAAGTGAGATAAACATGAGATGTAAAAGCATTCTGGGTGACAGTTAGCAGGAAAAAAAATCCACAGATTTCCAACAAATATAAAGGAACATGGTTCCTTCTTTTTGAAAGTAGGTCACATTTTTGTTGCTTTCCAGATATGTAAGAAGAATCTGCATTTGATGCAAACTGGTCTGAATCCCCAGGAGGGTCTGTCAGAAAATGTATATACCCCTATTTAAGAGCATTCACATTAAAATGTCATAATTATGACATATTACATTGTCCAGGAATTGTGTTCCTTGATATTCAAAAAGAGTCCAAAAAAAATTGGTATTTTAATTTCATTAAAATGTTTTGTACCTGCTTGATTTAAAAAGGATGCAGTTTGTTGATAACACTAAGGCATGTTTAAAAAATAGACAAGTAAGTCATTACCAGCCCCTCGCTTTCGAGGTGAATGCCTTTTGCCTTGGGACTCTTGTTGCATTTCCTCAGCACGTCCTGTTTGATGTTGATAAACAAATAGCACAAATTACACAAAGACAACTTTTCAAAGTAATAGTGTAACTGTCTTTCATCTAAGCCCCACATGAGTATAAGACATGTTTGTGCAGCTGTACTTCAATTCATATCATTAAAATGGCACTAAGGAGGTGAAACCTGTAACAGTGTTAAGCCTTGTAAGTAACTGTGATTAATATTTGTTACACATTTTTGTGGCAAGTTTGTTATCTGGTGTAATTTCTATGTCCATTTTAAGGCTTGGTGCCTTTACATAAGCATGTGGAAATCAAAACATATGTGCACTAAAACATACATATTGTACTGGTATCAGCAATTATCTAAATTGCACAGATACAAAACAGCCTCTAATTTCTGTCTACTTTTTGGTTCACTCTTGTATTAATTTGAGTCATGGTGCCTATTTCAGTTCTCTGTTTCTGATTTTCATTCAGTTAAATCCGGTTTAACTAAGCCTGTTTTCTGGTGGGTGTATACGCTACGGTATGAAATGCAAGAGTGTGCTGTTTCCAGCTATATGTAGCTTCCTTTTCAATGTTCTGCTACTTGAAAAGAAAATTTTAATTGTTATAATTTGTTCCCAACAGAAATTTCATTCACTTTGAAGCACAAAAATTTGATCCTAAAAATCAGAAAAGTATACCAAACCACAAAAAAAAACTCCTGCAAATATTTCAACCCACATTGACATGATGATATTCACCTATTTTCACAAAGCAGTTAGTATACAATACATATTACTTATCGACAATTTCGTATACCGGTGCCATTCCAACCCATTATAAAACTGATTACTCATCGATATGTCACCCAGGGGTTTTCCATTTCAGAGAAAGAGCAGTGATCATGTGAAGTAGAGTGCCTCTTACTATCTTTCCAAATGTGGCCCAAGATTAGTTTAAGGCTAGCCTATGTACTTACAAAGGCATGTCTTGAAGCATTGCTTCATTTGCAACATATTAAATGTTTGGATTCATCTAATTTCGTCCTATATTTTGTAAAGCACTCGTTCAAGCCTCCTCGCTTATCTTATAACCCTTGGTATAGGGTCTGTAATGGAAAATCCCAGATATGAGATCTCATCTCCTTAAGTTTCCAACCAAGGCTATCAAAGTACATGCTATTGAAATTTTTAATATCACTCTTTATGATGCTGGATGCATTTATCCTCAAGTACGTTCTTTTATTTTAACCGCTCGTTTATTGAATGCTCCTTCACTCATTTGCCTAGCCGACACTTCGTACAAAATGGAGCTTAAACGAGTTTTATCGCTGGCGATCGATGATTCGCATTCAGTTTGAAATACGTGGCGGCAGCGAGCGGAATAGGAGGCCTCATGAGGTATGATGTATCAGCAATTATTCAGCGATCCCTCTCACCTTATCTGGAGGTGTTAATCAATTCACTTGATCGCGTGTTCCTCGTGAAAACTCGATGACATCGCCACAAGCTATATCTGTAGTCATGAATATAATGACAACAGTCAACGTAACCCGGAAGCACGCTATCGCGTGAGACATGGGAAGCACAGAAAAAACTTGCATAAATTATGCAGGTACTCTGTCGTGAAATGCTAATAATTATAACTCTGTTGTGTCGTCTAGATTCAGTCAAGTTACTTCTTTCATTGCTATTGCTCAACTGAATTTTATTAAAGAATCAACAAGCTATATTCACAATACAGTACTAGGAATCAGTAATACTACTTTTACATAGGAATGTACTTTTACAATCATGTACCGATCGTGTCTTACAGGATATAGCGTGACTATAGTAACGCTTAGGTAACGCAATACACTACAAACTCGAAAACTTTGGAAGAGCTCGCATGAATCCCACAGCAGGGCCTCGATCAAACGAAAGAAATTCGTAAATCCAGTACAGAAACATAAAGCAGGATGTGACAGAGGTAAAAGAACCTCTTTCATTTGCGCGTGACTTATACACGACTTATGTATCTAGAGAAGCCTTGACTGTGCTCTGTTCTGTTGTAAAGTACGCTGGAAGCCGCTAGAGCACGAAAGAATCATAGGGAGAAACAGGAGACGTACAGAGAAACTCGTTATCTCACGTTATAGTAACTTAAATTACGGCACTTGACATGTTTACAAATCTTTGTTTGGTTCTTCTGTTGCTACTTGCCGGCTCGCTTGTTTCCAAATTTCACTTTTAATTAACGAAAAAGAGATAGAGAGAAGTCCCGGTAAAGGTCGGACATAGTACAATTTGGCAGATGGCGTAACAGCTTAGCTTTGTGTTTTGTATTCTGATAGAGCACGCTCTTTCAATCAATGACAGCGCGCGTTATATCCTAACTTTATTATAAATGAATTGACAAAAAGTAATTTCCGAGGGCGAAAATCTTAAGTCAAAGAGCAGTCAAATCCACGGAATTGAGAGAATTGAGCCTAAGCGTATGTCAAACCAGAAGGTGATCAAATTTGCTGGTGTACCAGTTTTATCTGATAAATTTTCCAAAAAGATGAGGGTACACTGTCGCGGAAGAGGCTTGGGTCCAACGTGAATTTTTTCTCGACCAGGCGTAATATGGTCAATTTTGCGTTCGTCTATCACAAGGTAAGTAAGGAGCATAAACACGTTTTGAAACACCACACCTTGAACGTTCAAAGTAAATGCACCCCATGTATTTCATAACCGGGCTAAATGTTCCATTATATTGCATAAAAGTCAGCTGCTAAGAAAACGCTAGTTAACTAATATATAGATTTAGCCAAATGAAAATATCGTCATTCTCGATTTCTACAAAAACAAATTAAAGCTGTAATAACCAACGACGAACGACTTCAAATGTTTCGTTCCTCAATCACTAAAAAATGTTCACATAATCACTAACCTAATTGCTCCAAACAAGCACTTATTTTATTTTTTAAGAAAGTATATATAGTTGTCTACATTAAAAAACCTCAGAGTACTTGATATATACTTTATTTTAAAGAAGCTTCAACATTCTCCTCATCTATGCGTCTTTCTTCCAATCAAATGCGTGGATAAAATTAGCTAAACACATGTTGTATAAGGTTGTAAAAAGGCTATCGATAAAAGGATGTAAATCAAGGATTAATAAATCATTAGATTCTTACAATTAATAACCAACTGGAATTTATTGGTAACTAGCGAAGTTATCTCTACTTTCCACCTAGTGGCCGTCTCTATTTAAACTAACTGCCGCGTTTGGTATGAGCAATATCTATGAGATATTATTCTAAACAATACTTTTGTGCTAAGTCTTTCCGCTGTACCAACTCATGGACTAATGCATCATACAAAGTCTTATAGTCTGCAGCTTCCCCATTGTTTGTTTTCCACAGTTTCAGCATATGAAATCCCCTTTGAGAAAAAGTTTTATATCTGTCTTCAATTTCTTCTATGTCCTCTTCCTTAATTCCAGGTAGTCGACGTGCCAGTCGATCCCACTTGCCAGCAATAGCTTTTCCAAGTGTTTGAAGGTCATCAAAAGTCACTTCTCCCTCTTGAATATAAACACAAACAGAGAGTTAATTATTTTAAGATAACCAGCTTACTTGTTACTTACTGTGACTCAGTAACAATTTTAAAATCATTCATTTTAGGGAGGGGGGGGATAAGTAGAGAAAAGGCTTTTTTGGTCATGCCAGAGATTTTCCATCAGATATTGTGGAAACAGGATGGACAAGTGGTTAGGACACAGGATTTGTAGTCTGGTGGTCCTGGGAACAAGCCTTCCAGGTGTATATTATGTTGAATCGAACTGATCAGATTTAATTTGTGTTGTGACAGTTTGTTGGGGATATAACTGTCCATCTTATCAGCCCTTTGTGCTGATAAGATGGATGGCATACCTGAAGGCAAGGACAACGAAGCAGAAGATGAAATTGTCAACTGGTCAAAAATTATACAAAGACAGCTAATCAACCAAACGGCTGACCATACCACTTAATGTCTTGGAGATAATAGTACTATGTGGCAGTTGTAAACCTAGAACTTCAATAAGGATTGTATAATGCAAAATTGTTTATCTCTCTGTTAAAGAATGTTACAGCTGCCTAGTGACATGCCATGCACGACCAGCAAACACAAGAAAATTGATGGCCGAATTGGCCAATTGCCATGGCAACCAAAACAGTTGTAACTGAAAGCCTTGCTTAGTCAAAACCACAAATGATTCCTGTGGAGTAAAATTCTCACGGGTGAATTTAAATCATCATCATATGGATTTTGCCCATGAAAATAAGTAATATATTAGTTTGCTTATCACCTTGTAACAAAGGTGTCTAAAGTGAGATAAACACTTAAAGGCAATCTGGGTGACAATTAGCACGAAAAAAATCCACAGATTTCCAACAAACATAAAGTTACATTGTTCCTTCATTTTATAGGGAAGTCACCTTTTAGTCGCTTTCCAGATACAGAAGAAAAATCTGTCTTTGATGCAGACTGGTCTGGATCCTTAGCAGGGTCTGTCAGAAAATGGAGATACTCCTATTAAGGTATTCACATGGTAAATTTCATAACTACGACATTATAATTTCCAGGAATTGTGTTCCTTGATATTCAAAAAAAGTTCAAATAAATATTGGTAGACTGATTTCATTAAAATATTTACTTCCAGCTCGATATAAAAAGGATGCAGTTTGTTGATAACACCAGGGCATGTTTAAAAAATAGACAAGTGAGTTATAATACCAGCCAATTGCTGTCGAGCTGAATGCCTTTTTCCTTGGAGCTCCTGTTCAACTTCCTCAGCACAATCATGTTAGATGTCAATAAATGAATGCCAAAAATTACACAAAGGCAACTAATAAACTAGACTGTTGACCATACCACTTAATGTCTGAGATAATAGTACTATGTGACAATTGTAAACCTAGTACTTCAATAGGGATTGTACTATGTAAAATTGTTCATATCTCATTAAAGAATGTTACAGCTGGCTAATGTCATGCCATGCACGACCAGCAAACACAAGATAATCAATGGCCAAATTGGCTAATTGCCATGGCAACCAAAACAGTGGCAACTTAAAGCCTTGCTTAGTCAATACCCCATGTGATCCCTGTGGAGTAATGGGGTAATGTTCTCACAGGTGAATTTAAATCATGATCATATGGATTTTGCCCCTTAAAATTATAAGTAACAACTTAGTTTGTTGATCACCTTGTAACAACAGTGTCTTAAGTAAGATAAAAATTTCCCTGGAACTGATGTAAAAGCAATCTGATGGACAATTAACGAGAAAAAATCCACAGATCTCCATCAAATGTAAAATAACACAGTTCCTTCATCTTAAAACTCAGTCACTATTTCTTTGCTAATTCCAGATATGTAAGAAGAATCTGCATTTGATTCAAACAGGTCTGGATCCTCAGCAGGGTCTGTCAGAAAATGTAAATACCCCTATTAGGGTATTCACATTGAAAATTGTCATGACTATGACATGACATTGTCCAGGAATTGTGTTCTTTGATATTCAAAGAAAGTCCAAAAATATTTGTATATTGATTTTGTTAAATTGTTTTGTACTTGCTCAATATTAAAAGGATGCAATTTGTTGATAACACTAGGGCATGTTTAAAAAATAGACAAGCAAGTAATTACCAGCCACTCGCTTTTGAGCTGAATGCCTTTTGCCTTGGGACTCCTGTTGCATTTCCTCAGCATGTCCTGTTAGATGTCGATAAACAAATAGCACAAATTACACGAAGACAACTAATCAAAATATCAGTGTGACTGTCACTCATCTAAGCCCCACATGTCTTGAGTAACACATGTTGGTGCAGCTGTACTTCAACTCATATCATTACAATGGAACTAAGGAGGTAAAACTTGTTACAGTGTTAGGCTTTGTAAGTAACTGTTTAGTACTTGTTGCATATTTTTGTAGCAAGCTTGTGATCTGGTGTAATTTCTGTGTCCATTTTAAGATTTGGTGGCTTTGAGCACATGAAAATCAAAACATCTTTGCACTATAAAACATACATATTGTACTGAAATCAGCAATGATCTGAATTGCATGGATACCATCAAAATAGCCCTTAATTTATGTCTACCTTTTTTATTATTTCACTCTTATATTAATTCTAATCATGGTTCCAATTTCAAAATGATAAACAGATTTGTGCCAACTAGCTACTAGGTACTTATTTAATTATTTTACTTCAGTTAAATGCATATAAAGTTAACATTTTTACCTGAATGCAAGGCCCTAAGCTTTGTCACAAAAGCAGTACATTGGTTCTGCCAACAGTATTTCTCTTTATACTTGTTGCATAGCATGCTTGCCTCTTCGTGCTTGTTTGATTTTTTTTAGCCCAGTCAGCTTCTTTATGTACTATGCATCCGTGCCCAAAAAGTACTTCCTCCAGAGCCTCTGCCAAGCCAGAATTATGGGTAATAAGGATTGGTACACCTGCTGACAATGCCTCCAAAGCTGTGAGACCAAATGCCTCTGTACCTGAAGGCATCAAAACAAGATCCACTTCCAAAAATAGCTGAGCCAGTTTTCTTCTTTCTTTGTAAAAACTTCTCACAATCAGTTGACTACGAGAGATCTCAAGATCTTCCAACCTCCCAGCCAGTTTCTCTTGTTCTCCCTCAGGGGCACCAACAACTTTGAGAATGTATGATGGCTCATACTTATTGAGATGTGCCACAGCTTTGGCAGCAACATGAAGACCTTTTAGTTCAAAGTCTTCAGTGTTCCCTTTGCCAAACAGTAAGATTTCAAAGTTCTTTGAATTTTGGAATTGCTTCTGCTCTCCAGAAAACTCATCAAAAATGCCAGGTATAAGATTGAAAACATGATCTTTCTTACACTGATGCAGAGCAGATCTAAAGGTTTCATTGAGCTTAGAGCCAACTGTTATAACCATGTCAGCCTTTTTACACAATTCTACCTCAGTTTCACGCTGTTTTTGCCCTTCGGAAATGGCACCTGGGGTTTTCTGGAACATTGCTGTTTCTTCTGCATTTCTTAGGACCACATGCACCCATTTACAGCCAAGGTTATTCTTAAAGACCTGTCCATGACATCCAGACTTAATGCCCTGACCAATGATAAAGTCAGTGCTAAATCCTTGTGGAGGAAACTGCAGACAATTAACTGGTTCATAACCTGTAAGTTTCTCAGGTTCAAAAACCTTGATGTTGTATTTTTGGGCATCTTCTTTATCCTCTGGACTGGCACTTGGAATTAAAATACCAATTTCTACATTTTCTAGTCTAGAAAGTTCTATGGCCATCTGTCTCATGAAGGTGGAACAACTGCCTTTGGTTGATTGAGTCCATTCCTCAGTCAAAAAGGTTATCTTCATGATGGCAGCTTGCTTTTTCAGATAATGTCCTGTAAAAAGTTTACAAATGATTTCAGAATTGTATGATTGCCCTTGATCCATAAATATCAGTTCCCACAAAAGAAGTTTATTTAATCAAAATGCCATAAATTTATTTTTAGTTTACTGAAAACTCATGCAAGTAGGCATGAGCCCAGGGTAACAGTATTTTCATTCTATTTTGTTCAGTCAGTTAAAGTAATTGAAGGTTCTGGAATTCCATTCCTCAGTCAAAAAGGTTATCTTCATTTTATTCAGATAATGTTCTGTACATATGATTTCAGAATTGTATGATTGCCCTTGATCCATATGTATTAGTTCCCACAGAAAAAGTTAATTAAATCAAAATGCGACAAAAGTATTTTTATAATGACTGTAAATATATGAAAATCGTATACGAGCACTGCCGTTGAAGAAACGAATATAGAAGTGATCCTCGCAGTTATCAACACTACTGAACTAGTAGTATAAATAAAGCCTGAAAAAAATTCAGGCCCGTATGAGATACCGTACGGGCCTGTTTCTGATTTTCTGTCAGTTAAACCCGGTTTAACTAAATATGTTCTCTGGTGTGTCAATAGGCTGAGGTATTGGATGCAAGAGTGTGCTGTTTCCAGCTATATGTAGCTTCCTCGTCAATGTTAAGCCCGCTACCCGAAAAGAAAATTGTAATTATTACAATTTGTTCCCAGCAGAAATTTCACTCACTTTTAAGCACAAAAATTCGATCCTAAAATCAGAAAAGTATGCCAAACCACAAAATAAAACCCCTACCGATTTTTTAACCTAAATAGGTCGCTGATATTCACCTATTTTCACACAAAGCAGTATACAACACATATTACTGATCGGAAATTTCGTATACGAGCGCCATTCCAATGTACCACAAAACTTATTTGTTACTGATATATCACCTTGGGGTTTTCCATTTCACAACAAGTGCAGTGTTAAGTAAAATACCAGCTTTCTAAATATGGCGCAAGATTAGTTAGGCTAGCCTGTGTACATGCAAAGGCATGTCTTGGAGCATTGCTTCATTTGCAATATAAAAAATGTTCGGATCCAACTAATTTCGTCCTACATTTTGTAAAGCGCTCGTCCAAGCCTCCTCGCTTATCTCATAACCCTTAGTATAGGGTCTGTGATGGACGTTTCCAACCAAGGCCATCAAAGTACATGCTGTTGAAATTTTAATATCACTCTTTACGATGCTGGATGGATTTATCCTCAAGTAGTTTCTTTTATCTTAACCTCTTGTACACTGAATGCTCCTACGTCTATTTGCCTAGCTGATACCTCGTAGAAAAACGAGCGAGCCGAATAGGCGGCCATATAAAGTATGTCACAACTTATACAGATTGTTCAGCGATCCCTCTCACCTTATCTGGAGGTGTAAAGCAATTCACTTGATCGCGTGTTCCTCTTGAGAATTCGATAACATCGCCATAATGTGGTCTTGAGATCATGAATGGCAACAGTTGACTTAACCCGGAACCACGCTATCCCATGAGACATAGGAAGCGCCGGAAAAAACTTGCATAAATTTTGCAGGCATTCTGTTATGAAATGCTAATTGTAACTCAAAAACTTGGGTCAGCTCGCATAAACCCTCACGGTAGGGCCTCGGTCAAACGAAATTCGTAAATCCAGTACAGCAACATAAAGCAGGATGTGACAGAGATAAAAGAACTTTCATCTGCGTGTGACAAGGAAAAATCTGATGAGTTCCCGCTGAGAGGACTCGAGCTGCCACTAGTCACACTGTAATATCTCGCGCTCTAAAGCTCTACCTAGTTAGCTCATTGACAAGTCTAAGGGGAGGTCGTCGTGCACCCCGCTTTCCTTCCCCCCCCGCCCCACCCCTTGTGAGATGATTTCCTTCTGGTAAACAACAGATAAATATCATAATTCAGGCGGTGAAAACGTGCATATTCTGAAGAGTATACATGTCACCGCATTTCAAATATTTACTAGTGGTAGATATTCATCTATGCATCTTGTAAGCCTGTCCCTCCCCCCCCCCCCCCCGCACACACACACCCATACTCCCACGCACACACATACACGATACTTCCCCCCAAGGGATCGGTCATTATTTATTCGCTTGGGGGAGGGGTCGGAGGATTTTGGTTGTTTGACGATAAAATTTGCCTGATCCCCCATAAACTCTACAATATTATTTTAATTTCCCTCATTAGCAGTTAATTGACAGTCAGTTTTTATAGTTCTCCTTTGTTCTCTGTTGGCGACGGCTGATCCCCACTCTGTTCCCCCTGAAAATCATGTGATCCCTCTAATATCTTTCACCCACTCCACCCAGGAGATAAGAAAAAACGACTGGTCTCCTAATACGACCATGCTGTTCCGTTGCAAAGCACGTAAAGAGCGGCTAGAGCACGAGAGAATTGTAGAGAGGTAGACAAGACGCCGGAGCTCCGTAGGGAGACACACAAGACGTAGTCGAGTTTCTCCCCACTTCTCAAGTACGTTCGTAATCTTGCAATCTAACTGAGCGTGAAAACCGTCAAAATTTGGATAGTGTAATTCGTTATCTCTATGAGGATCTATGAGGATTTTCGTCTCTGCTCATGTTAAAATAAGGTAAATAACGGCACTTGGCATGTTTACAAATCTTTGTTCGGTTCTTCTGTTGCTACTTGCCGTCTTGCTTGTTTCTAAATTTCCCTTTCAACTGACAATAAAAAAAGCTAGAGAGGAGTCCCGGAAAAGGTCGGACATAATACAACTTGGCAAATGGCGTGAAAGCTCAGCTCTATGTTTTGTACTCTAATAGAGCACGCTCTTTCAACCAATGACAGCGCGCGTTATATCCGAGATTTATTTTAAATAAATTTCACAAAAAGTAAGTTCCGGGGGCGAAATTCTTAAGTCAAAGAGTGGTTAAATCCATGGTAATAAGAGAGTTGAGCTTAAAAGTATGTCAAAACCAGGTGATCAAATTTGCTGCTGTACCGATTTTCCAAAAAGCTGAGGGTACACTGCCGCGGAGGAGGCTTGGATACGAGGTGAATTTTTTCTAGATCAGACGTGATACGGTCAATATTGCGTTCGTCTATCACACGGTAAGTAAGGTGCATAAACATGTTTTGAAACACCACACCTTAAACGTTCAAAGTGAATACACTCCATGTATTTGATAATCGAGCTAAATATTCCATTACATTGCATGAAAGACAGTTGCTAAGCAAACACTAGTTAACTATAATACTACCATGGCAAAATAAAAATATCGTCATTCTCGATTTGTACAAAAAAAAAATTAAAATCGTGAAAACCAACGACGAACGACTGCATATGTTGCGTTCCTCATTCATTAAAAAATGCTCACTAAATCACTAACCTAATTGCTCCAAACAAGCACTTATTTTTTAACACAATATATATAGTTGTCTACATTGAAAAACTTAAGGTACTTATCGAGTTTATCTAAAATACTCCAGCTTTATTTTAAAGAACTTCTCTCTTGAGGTGACATACGATCATTCTAAAGCTTCAACATTTTCCACCATCTATGCGTCTTTCCTTCAATAGATGCAATCAAATGCGTGTACAATATTAACTAAACACATGTTATACAGTGTTGTAAAAAGACTATCGATAAAAGAGTGTAAATTAAGGATAAATTCATCATTAGATTCTCACAACTCATAGCCACCTGGAATTTATTGCTAACTAGCAAAGTTATTTATACTTTCCACCAAGTGGTTGTCTCTATTTAAACTAGCTGCCAGGTTTTTGTATAAGTAATATCAAAGAGATGTTATTATTCAAAACAATACTTTTGTGCTAAGTCTTTCCGCTGTACCATACTGTGGACTAATGCATCATGTAAAGTCTTATAGTCTGCAGCTTCCCCATTGTTTGTTTTCCACAGTTTCAGCATATGAAATCCCCTTTGAGACAAATTTTTATATCTGTCGTCAATTTCTTCTATGTCCTCTTCCTTAATTCCAGGTAGTCGACGTGCCAGTCGATCCCACTTGACACCAATAGCTTTGCCAAGTGTTTGAAGGTCATCATTACTTACTACTCCCTCTTGAATATAAAAACAAATAGAGAGTTATTATTTCAAGATTAACAGCTTTAAAAATTGTGACTCAGGAACAATTTTAGAATCATTCATTGCAAGGGATTTTTTTTAAGGGGCAGGGGAGAGAGCAAAGGCTTTTTTTTTGTCATCCCAAAGATTTTCCATCAGATATTGTGGAGGTAGGGTGGACAAGTGGTTAGGACACATGATTTGTAGCCTGGTGGTCCTGGGAACAAGCCCTCCACCCAGCCACTCACTGGATTGTTCTTAAATGGTTCCCTGAATTCAACTCCTTGGCTGTGCTTTGTATATAGCTAAGTGCAGCCTGCCTCCTGCCAGTTGGGGTTTTTACAGTCTGTGTTTATCTACAAAGTTTGGGACTAGATTGTTCATATTTATCCTTAGATGAACCTTGCCTGAGGAGACTGGTCAATTTTAAAGGTATACAAATACATATCCAAGCACACATTCCTCATTATCATGTATAATTTGTTGAATCAAACTGATTAGATTAATTTTATGTGTGACAGCTAGTGGGGGTATAACTGATTGGAACAGAAGATGATTCCCTTTGTGTGGGTAAGATGGACAGCATACCTGAAGCCTGAGACAATGAAGCAGAAGATGAAATTGTCAATAAGTTCAAGATGGAAGATTAAAAAACCTGCTGTAACATAACTGTGCTCTCACTTCAAAGAAACAGCTCTTTAAGGAGCCATCACTGGATGGCTGACTGGATGCAAAAAGGCTGCTGACCATACCACTTAATGTCTTTGAGATAATAGTACCATGTGGCTATTGTAAACCTAGTACTTCCATAAGGATTGTATTATGAAAAGTTGTTTATCTCTATTTTGAAGTACGTAACAACTGGCTAGTGTCATGCCATGCATGACCAGCAAACACAAGATAATCAGTAGTGAAAAAAAATTCAGGCCTATACGGGATTTGAACCCATGACCTCTGCGATACCGGTGTAGTGCTCTACCAACTGAGCTAACAATTGAGCTACCAACTGAGCTAACAGTTCTTAACCATTTACAAGATAATCAATGGCCAAATTGGCCAATTGCCATGGCAACCAGAACAGTTGCAACTTAAAGCCTTGCTCAATGATACCTGAGGAGTAGTGTCCCCTGACAGGTGAATTTAAATCATCATCAGTAATTAATTAGTT